CCCGGGTATGTGGTCCCGGGTATGTGGTCCCGGGTATGTGGTCCCGGGTATGTGGTCCCGGGTATGTGGTCCCGGGTATGTGGTACTAGTGGCCAAAAAGCACTGGGACTAGTAAGCGCTAGGGACTGAGGGGTAAGAGAATTAGTGTTGGCTGGGTTACCACGGGGTCGTGTCCGGGAACGTCAAGCATCAGACGGAGCATTCTTCGCCGTATGGCGTTAGCCATAGAGTCGGCGGTGTCGAGGCCTCTTCTGGGTATGATCACATAGTCAGCGAATTTAACGTATATCGGGTGTCGGTTAACAAGGAGCTCTCTAGGCGGCCAGGCCCGGTGGCTGCCGTGTATGATAGAGACGTGTATGGGCCATTCGTAGTCAATGGCGGCTCCTATCATTCCGAGTTTAAATGGATTCATACGACCGAACATCCGTCGTGTGCCTTCCGGGAAACAGATGACGGGTACATTGTTGCAGATGGCTTCGGCACAAGAGGAATATGTTTTATCCTTGTCTTTAACGCCGGATCCTCGTCGGTTGCCCCAGACGAAGCACTGGCCCGAGAGCCAGAGCAACTGACCGACGAAGGGGGCCTTAATGACACCGGACTTGATTAAAGCCTTCGTGGTCATGGGCTGGAAACAGGCCTTGAGCAGAAAGCCGTCGATATTGCTCATGTGGTTAGACACCACCATGCTTCCCCCCACGGCAGTCAGTCCGCCCTCCTTGTCGCTAGGTAGCGACACCTCCAGAACTCCGTCCTCAGGATCAACACGCGTGTGCGCAGGCTTCCATTGACTCCACTCCTCCTGGTTCAACCGCCACTTGGGCTTGCTACCCAGAATCGTCACCTGCCATATACCCAAAGTGTGGAGAGTACGGCAAATAAAGTACGCCCCAAAGTCTATAGGCCATCCCAGCATATATTCGAAAACCTCTTTACATGTCCTCTACAACAAATACACACTCTCCACTCTCAACACAGGACCCTCATGACAGCACCGGACCCTCCTAACACTTGTGACCCTCGTAACCTAACACTTGTGACCTTCGTAGCCTAACACTTGTGACCTTCGCAACCTAACACTTGTGACCCTCGTAGCCGAACACGTGTGAAACCGCCCACTGGTCGGGGTTGTGTAAGACGTCGGGGTTGCGTAATTTGTCTGTGTAGCTTACGGATTCCGTAATCGACTCCAGGCGAATAATCTTGCATATCAGCTTGAGAACGCCGATGAGGACGCCGTTGAGGACTATCAGGTTCGTGGCGACAAGGCAGGCGCAAAATGTAGTCAGCACGAAGGCTGCCGTGCACAGGACCCTGACCCCCAAGTAGCTTCTGTCACCACTGTGGGTCCATATCCTGGTCGGCGTGTAGCCTAAGTCCTCCTCATCTGCAGGCGTCGGTTTCGTTTCCCGCATTTTTTGCCCTCTATTTTAGAGGGTATTTTTAACCAACCAATGAGCACTGTCAGCGCAAATAAGCGCCGACGGCCGAACCTGCCTCCTCAGCCACTCAACTTGGTTCTTAACGTGAAACCCAACGACCCTCAGCCCAGTGCCGGATTCATGCCCTCGTGCAAGCTACCCCTGACGGCGGACGCTCTGATGCAGGACCCAGCATATACTACCTTCATGGACTTCAGCGAAATGGAAATCAAACCGAATGCAGATGAACTGCCGCTCCTCGTTTGCCCCAACGGCTACATCTTCCTGGAAAGTATGCCCCCCCACCCCCTGGAAAGTATGCCGCCCCCCCACCCCGTCCGAGGCTACGTATGGTCCAGCCATTGTCTGGGACACGGACTCTTGTCTCTGCATTTGGTGTGGATAATCGCACACGTGTGTATATAATCGCACACGTGTGTATATAATCGCACACGTGTGTATATAATCGCACACGTGTGTATATAATCGCACACGTGTGTATATAATCGCACACGTGAGAATTTTCTGTAGCCGGTTCAACGAATCTCAAGAGCGCGACGGAGTTCGTAATAGCAATCGCGGAGCCGGTGAGTCGGCCGGAGGTAATTCACGAGTTCCAATTGACGGTGTTTAGTCTGTATGCAGCGTTGAGTATGGGTTTAACTTGCGACGAACTTTTGGCTCGTTTGGAGCGGTACAGTAAGAATGTGGTGTCTCCGATATTGATAGCGGAAGTGCGTCGGCACGGTGCGTCATTTGGTCGAGTGAAGTTGGTTTTGAGAGACCGTAAGTACTTCATTGAGTCTTCATATCGGGATGAGTTGGAGTTGTTGGCTGCGAATCCGGTTATAGCTGCCGCACGAGTGCAGAATTCATTGACGATGCGGAACGTGCAGAAGACGGAGGAGGAATCTGGGGGTAGTAAGAGTGCTCAGACGACGGTTGCAGTGGGTTCGAAAAACGACTTCAATGTTGAGGTGGAAGATCGTGTGGAGGAGAAACTGTTGGAATTTCTGGCACAGGGGGAGCCGCAAGGGCCGCCGGGTGCCGAGAATGAGGAAGTAGAGGATGTGGTGCCCAAGGTGGACAAGCCGGACTTGGTGTATTCGTTCCAGGTGGAGGAGAGCCGAGTGGGTGCGATAAAGGAAGTTGCATTGACTGTGTTGGGGCGACCGTTGTTGACGGAGTATGACTTCTGGCGAGACGCAAGCAACCCACCTCTCCAGATAAGTTTGAATCAGGAGACCCGCATCCGCTACTATCAGGAGCGTGCATTGCGCAAAATGTTTAGCAACGGACGTGCCCGGAGCGGGATTATTGTGCTGCCTTGCGGTGCTGGCAAAACGCTGACGGGCATTACGGCGGTGACGACAATCAAAAAATCCGCGATGGTCCTGACCTCGTCCTCGGTGGCAGTGGACCAGTGGAAGAGGTCATTTTTACTGTTCACGACGGTGGATCCTAGCAAGGTGGTGGCACTAACAGCAGATAACAAGAGCGACTTGCCTGAGGACGCGTGTGTTGTTTGCAGCACGTACACCATGATGGCGTATAGCGGACGACGCAGCGAAGCGGCGGAACGTATCATGCAGCAGATCCGACGGAAGGACTGGGGTTTGTTGATCTTCGATGAGGTCCAATTCGCCCCGGCGCCGGCGTTCCGTCGAATTACGGATCTCTGTCGTAGCCACTGTAAGCTGGGACTGACGGCTACACTTGTAAGGGAAGACGACCTGATTAATGATTTGCAATGGTTAATTGGGCCAAAACTCGATGAGGCTAACTGGTTGGAACTTCAAAAAGCCGGATACCTTGCGAAGGCCAAATGTAGCGAAGTATGGTGTGGTATGACAATCGAGTATTTCCGCGCATATCTGAATGCCAGCCCGATGAAACAACGAAGGCTGTGGGTATGTAATCCTAACAAACTACGTGTGTGTGAATATCTGATCCGTTTCCATCAGGCGCGTCGTGATAAGATTATTGTTTTTAGTGACAATCTATTTGCCCTGAAGGAAGTCGCTTACGCCTTGAAGGCGCCATATATATCTGGCGAGGTATCGCTACAGGAACGAATGGTTATAATTCATAAGTTTAAAACCAGTCCCAATTGCAACGTCATTTTCCTCAGTAAAGTCGGTGATAACGCCATCGATATACCGTGTGCGACGGTTGTAATTCAGATCTCATTCAACTTCGCTTCCCGAAGACAAGAGACCCAACGTCTTGGAAGAATTCTCAGACCTAAACCCAATTCGAACAAACCAACCACCAACTCTCCAGACGACATTGAAAACTACAATGCATTCTTCTACTCCCTGGTCTCTAAGGATACACAGGAAATTGCATATGCAGATAAGAGACAACAGTTTATTGTTGATCAAGGCTATGCTTACAAAGTTATACCCATGAATGTGTTTAATCTAGATCAACACAAATTAATCTTTGATGACCCAGTTCGACAGAAAACAATATTGCAGAAAATACTCACCTCTAGTGACACTGGTAAAGGGGACCTTGAAGAGGAGGAAATGCCCTTGAACACTATCGACTAACATGTGATAGTTGTTAACCCCCAGGTAGGAATTCACTCGCCGGCAGGAACTCACTCGCCGGCAGGAACTCACTCGCCGGCAGGAATTCACTCGCCGGCAGGAACTCACGAATTCACTCGCCGGCACGGGGACTGACTGTTGAGGGTGGACTATTTTTTCTCATTTGTGGATTAGAGGTTAGCGGGAGATGTTAGAATATAGTTTATGAAAAGTGTTAGAATATAGTTTATGAAAAGTTTATTGGTGTTTTCTAGCTGCTTATTATTCAATGCTTTCGTATGTGAGGGAATGATCCGGATCTTCCGTCCTTTCAATCGTCAACAAAGCAATGAAGGACTGGCAGGGCCTGCGATAGGTAATGCTGCTTGCGGCAATGGCGCTGGCAGTCAGTGGATTCGAGCGAGTCCGCCTTCAAAATGGTTGTCGGAGTACGGAACGGACTACCTGCTTGTCTACCCGGGGATGAAACTAACGTTCATCTATGACACACCTGTGTCTGGAACTAGCATCCATCAGCTTCAATATTGTAGTCCTCCGAGCAACTATGTCGGTTCAGAACAAATCGATGATGCTTGTTTCAAACCCATGCAACGACACCCAGAGGAAGATCAAACACCCTATCTAGAAGAATACCCAGACATTGATTTCTTCCTAGACCCTAGTTGCACTCTTAACTACGCATTGGATGAACCCGAATACCGTAGCTCCTGGATTGTTCCCAGGAGCTTACGCACGCAGTGGCCAGTTCTATTCAGGTGGGTTGTACAACTCTCATATACCTCCTGCCCACATCCGGCCGTTTGCCCTCCTACCATTCCCGATAAGATCAAAAATTGGGTGTATAAGGATGGTAACTTACACACCTGGTGGACCGGCATGTGTGTGAAATTAAATGGTTGAATGTCTTGTTTCCACCTGTATTGTTTCCACCTGTATTGTTTCCACCTGTATTGTTTCTCTGCGTAGCTGACCTTGGTATGGAATGTCCGATCGGGATTGGCACTACCGCAGCAGCGATTGACGGGTGCCCGAACGAAGAGCCGTGCAAGGCCAATCAATCGCAAGTAAAGTTATGTCTGGATGCGTACGCCATCGACATTGCGTCCCAAGGGGAGTGGCCTGCTGATGCGGATGGCAATTCGAACGGCTCTGCAGCGAACCTGAACACCGAGGCTGTCCGAGTGGCTACTCCGTGTCCGACCAGCGCACGTGTTCGCACGCACGAAGTCGAGGTCCAAGTCGGGAAACCTCAGGTGGCAGAGACCCAGGTGGGTGAGTCCGATGTGAGCGAGACGCGGGGGTACGACCGCGCATTGGTGTGTGAGTTGGCGTCTCTGGAGATGCGCGCGGCGTTGGTTAATGCACCGCATGCGGTCAATTTCGATAACTTGCAAAGGTACTTGACCCTCGCCTACTCGCCGGAGAGCGAGGACTACGCATACCTGAGCAAGGAAGCCTATTGGCTGCTGTATCTCCTCAATTCGGATTTTTGTGAGAATGCCGTCAACAGCGACGAACACGCCTGCGGCAAGTGGTGCACTGAAACGGTCGAGAGCAGCGGGTCCACGCTGGCGCAAATGGTCCAGTACTGTGCCGCAGTGGGCGTGTCACAGGCATCTGATTGCCTTAGTGTTTATGGCGCCATTCTCGTCTGTTCCGCTCGCTGAGTTTTTGTGGTGCATGCTCGCAAAAAAGAAACTCCCAACACTTGCGCCATTAAAGTCCAAATCCTCCACTTCCCCCACACACCCCGGCACACCTCTCGACCCACAGAACTCAACCAGCAAAACGACCAAGACAGAAGGCGCCACCAAACAAGACGGAACGAAGACAGAAGACACGGCCGAGACAGACCACACTCCGAAGAAGAAAACACCTAAGAGGAAGCCCTTTGGCAAGAAGTCCTCCGTGACAGAAGCAGTCACCAGACCAGCTCCCGAAACGGTGGGCAAGCCAGCGGCTGCAAAGCTACCACTCCCTGTGAACAACAAGGCCGCCACAACGCGCTCGGTCTCGCAAGACTCCTCAAGCTCCTCCTCAAGTTCCTCCACCGCTCCGAGCTCGAAGGCGAAAACGAAACCGAGACCGACCAAGAAATTCCCTCGAAAGGCCGCGCCGTCGACGAAAACCGAGTGGGTGAAACAAGCGGCCCCTGTGCGCCCCGGATCGGGCCCAAAGGCGGGTCCAGAACCGGCTTCCGACAGTAGCAGCAGCGACTCGTCCATGCAGCCCAAGACGCGTGTGGTTAAACGCAGGTTTGCACCGGCGCCACCGCCGGCCAGCGAAATCGACCGCGCGTCCTACGCCTCCACCAACTTCAGCTCCAGCTCCTCTAGCTCCAGCTTAGCTGGCGGTCTCGGCTTCAAGCACCCCGCCAAGAAGAAGGTGCTGCCCAAACTGGCTAAGGGAAGAATCACGTCCGTCGCCTCCGTAGGCTCTACCGCCGAAAACTCTGCCTCCGTGGGCCCTGCGACCGGAGATCTGAAGACTGGGAGCCCTCCGGTTGGGAGTCCTGCGGCGGCGGGGTCGTATTCGCCGTTTGAGAGCCACAAGCGATTCGCGTTCGGATCGGAGGCGGCTTCGAGCCCGCGGCCTGGAGGTCCTAAGAGCAGCCGACTGGCTAGTCCCGGGTTCCGGCCAGTTGGTGGCGGGCTAAAACTCAGCCCCAGGTCGGCTTCGCCACGCGGGCACTCGCCCGGTGGCATCTCGCTGAAGAGGCGCTCCCAGACCACCCAGAAGACCGCCGCGGCCTCGCCCCGAGCGCCAGCTGTCCCTTCGCCGCGGCAGCCGCAACGTAACGAACACACGCAGCCGGTCCGGCAGGTCTCCTCCAGCTCTTCTGAAGCACTTTCGCCCCCCATGCCGACTCCGACCACCGCTGCACACCGCGGTGCACCGACCAAGCCAGCTCCTCCCGAGCCGACGTTCGTGACCAGAGCCGCCGCGACGCGTCAGGAACCTGCTGGCGAAAATGAGAACTCGGAGCAGAAACCTGAACAAGCCGGCCCAGCCGCCAAAGTAGATGTGGAACCGGCACCCGGCACCGGACGCACGTCAGGACCGGGACCTGCGGCGTCGAACCCGCGGCGTCGGGACCTGCGACGTCGGGACCTGCGACGTCGGGACCTGCGGCGTCGGGACCTGCGACGTCGGGACCTGCGACTAGTCTCAAGTCCGAAACGGAATCGAACGAAGCTCACCAGAAAAGGGAAGTGCCGAAGAGACACTCGGTTGACTCGCCTCAGCGTCTCTCCTCAGTCGACACGTCTCTGTTACTGGCGGAGGAGATCGTTCCCCGACCCGCCCCAGCAGCGTCGAGCACGCCGCGTTTCTCGGGGCCGTACTGGGCTGGCAGGGGAGGTGGCGTGCCGCAGGCGCCAGCGGATACGGTCACTCGGGAGGCGGGCGCCCGGGATGCGGACCCTCAGGGCGTGGCCACTAAGAGCACAGACAACCAGACCACGGGTGGCACCAAGACCACGAGCACGCAGACTACAGTCGTCAAGCCTATGGACCAGCCCACGGCCACCCCAGTTAAGGCCGCGACCATCCCGGTGGAGACCACGACCGCTTCAGTTAAGAGCACGACCGCCCCAGTTAAAACCACGACCACCCCGATGGAGACCACGACCACCCCAGCTAAGACCACGACCGCCCCGGCTAAGACCCCCATTATAGACACGCAGGCTGTGGGCACCCAGGACAAAGACAAGCAGACCATGGGCAGCAAAGGCACAGATGACAAGCCTATGAGCGGCAGTCAGATTACAGACACTCAGATTACAGACAGCCAGGATAGAGGCACGCAGGGTACAGGCGCCCAGAAACTGGCAGAGCCCAAACAGCCTGTTGCGCGCTCCGCGGTTGAGATGGAGCCGGGGGCAAAAGAGTCGACTGGGGAGCATCGGGCGGTTAAAGGAAATCAGTTGGCTGGAGGAACTCAGGCGGCTGGAGAAGGTCAGGTTGCTGGCCCCGACGAGACGTCTGCTGGTCAGTCACTTGTCCAGTCGCTTGGACAATCGCTTGGTCAGTTCGTTCGCGAGTCATTGGGTCCGTCACCGGAAACGAGTACGGGTTCAGTGGCTGGGCCGGCTGTATCTGGGCCGACCGTGGCTGGGCCGACCGTGGCTGGCCCGACCGTGGCTGGCCCGACCGTAGTTGGCCCGGCCATGGCTGGGGGGCTGGAGCAAATAAGAGCGAAGGAGAAAGAGAGGCAGCAAGAGGCGCTAAGTGAGGTGAAGGTGGAGCAAATAAGGATGGATCATTCGGGGTCGAATGGAGCGCGATTAGAGAGCATGAAGGAAGATCTGGTCTCTCGTTTTAAGCAGTTGTTGCAATCCGAAGTTCAGCAGCAGTTCAATGGTTTGTTGGAAAGTCGGATGCGAGTATTGCTTAGCGAGAATAAGGAGTCTTTCTTGGCGGCTGAGCGTCAATTGTTTGAGGACCGTCAGTTACAGTTGTTGGCAAAGATTGAACAGGACCATAGTGGGTTTGTTTCGGAAGTGCACACGCGTGTTTCGGAATTGGAGAAGAGTTCGGAAGCCTTGAATAAAGAGACGGTGAAGCAGATTTTGAAGACTATGGGTGGTGAGTTGGCGCAGGTGAAGCAGGATGCGACAGACAGCGCAATAAAGTTGTTTGATGAGATTGCCGCCTTGAGAGCAGACAGTATGAGTTGGATTAAAGAGCAGTTGAATGACACGATGCGGACTTTACGGAAAAAAGATGTGGAGATCGAGTCTCTGTCGCAGCAGCTGAGTCTGCTGAAGAGTTCTCAAAGTGACCAACTTTATGGGGAGTTGACTGCGTATGTCAAGTCGGAAATGGAGAAGAAGAAAAAGTCGATTCCTGTACAAGACGCTCGAACAATGGCCATGGAGTCTTTAAAGAAAGGAATGGCGATCGACTCCATGTCGACCGTGATGCGTCGACTGGTTGAGCGGCTCGGTGTACGTTGGGATTTGGGGATTCGTGACATTTTCGCACACCTCAAACTTTTCACTCAGAAACACCATGAACTCGAAGTATCCATGGCCCCGAAAATTAGCGCCTCAAGAAGGATCGCATCTGTCCTGCATTACGCCCTCCATAAAACCCGACTGCAAGCCTTCTGGTCGCTACGTATGCACTCTGCAACTTATCAGCAATTGAACGCAGATCTCAGAAGGGCGGCGTACAACAGACAACTTGACAGGAAATTACGACTCCTGCTTTTCGGCCAAAATCCGCCTTACGAGCACATACAACTGGCGGAAGCGAGAACTGCGGCTGCCCGCGGTATCAACTCTAGACAATCTTATCTGACAGGAATACCCTCTGCCTACCCACAGCTATCCAGGCGATACACATCGATCTTTCGAACAAATACCTAACAGTCACTGTTTAATGACAGCTTATCGCGGTCTTCCTTCGTCCCGATCAGCCACACGGCCGGAACGACTTCGGCTATGCGATACCCGATAGTCGTGCTCACACGCATATGGGCCTCTATGGCGATCATCACGCCCGCGATAATCACCATTCCTGCGACGATAATCCGAGCGATAAATATCCCGATGATCGTAGTCCCGATGGTACTCATCATCGCGGTGATGATTGTCGCGATAACCCTCATCATTGTACCTATCTTCCTTCCGGTACCCGGCGGCGTTCCTGGCGTGTTCCTTGAGGTCCTTCTTAAAGCATTCTCGGTCGTTACGATCTTTGCGGTCGTTGCCGTGGTCACGACCGTGATCTTCCGCATGGTGGGTGACGGGGCTACCAGTGACGGGCCTATCAGTGACGGGAGGCCTATCAGTAACGGGAGGCCTATCGGTGACGGGCCTATCGGTGACGGGAGGCCTATCAGTGACGGGCCTATCGGTGACGGGAGGCCTATCGGTGACGGTTGACCTATGTTTCCTCCATTGGACCGACTGGCAGAAGCTGACATGGATTCGGCGATCATCGATGAGTGCGTCTTGCATTTTGAAGAAGGCTTCTTTGCAGTGTTCAACGTCAGCAAATTCTACAAAGCCGTACTGGAGGGAGTCACCAGTCTTCCAATCCTTGATGATATTACAACTGCGTACGGGTCCAAATTGTTCGAAAATGGTTTTGAGATCGTCATCTTCTGTAAAGGGATTGAGTTTGCAGACGAATATTATATTTTCGGGTGGTTTTTCATCAGCGTCATCGATGTCCCCTAAAATCTCCAACGCGACGGCCTGCGACCTGGCTTCGTTGGATCTGATTTTGTCGAGCAATCTCAGTTCGTCTTCTGCTGTTTCAATACGTTCGTATATTGTGTCATCTATGGGATTGGGACTATCGGGGATTTTAGCCGGGAACCCGGGTACAGCCGAGTCTGGGTAGGGATCTTCGAGCACCAGCGTGTGTCGTATCCGTATGGTTTGTAGAGGTCGGCCCTGATCATCGGTGGGAACTTTGTTCAGCTTTTCCAAAATGTCTAAACCTTCGACAACTTCACCGAAAATCGTGTGCTTCCGATCAAGACTACTCACCTTACTGCTCAAGGTGAAGTAAAATGCACTTCCATTCTCATTGTAACCTTCATTTGCCGTGGCAACCAATCCCTTACGATCATGGATATGCTTCGGCAGTATTTCGTCTGGGAAATACTTCGTCAAATTCTCCGGCCGAGCCTTCCCGTACCAATCTCCCTCATCTTTCACATCGACGGCAGATGTGCCCCAATAGTTCATCCGCCCCCATATTGTCTCACCGCCACCTTCGTAAATCTTGGCATTACGATGGTACCCAGTGGCAGCGATAAAGTCCTCCTCTACACGGTGGATCTTGGAATCATTGTAATACTTCACTCTGCATAATTTCAGGAAGTTGAGGCAACTTAGAGGACAGTCTTCCGTATACAAATCGATAATGATGTCACCCAGCGACGTCTCAAGTAACACAGACATCCTGGCTGGTTTTATATTCCTCACTGCCCTTATATTCCTCACTGCCCTTATATTCCTAACTGCCCTCTACTGGCTTTTGTTCTTCCAGCCAACACTCGCCCGACCAACAGTAACCCCTTCCCCTGTCACCGGGATTATTCCTGAGAATACCCCCCCGCCCCACCAATCTACACCGACCAGATGCCATCGCCGGTGCATGCATGCCCTTGGCTGCGTAGTGGTTTGAAGGAAAAGGCCCCTGCCTCCGGTAGGGTGTCTCTACCGGAGGTAGGGATGTGTGCTTGTTCGGCCTGCAGTAGTTCGGGATGTGTTTGATGAGTGCCTCTTCCGGGGTGCTGCGCCGTTGAAGCGATATTCGGGGAGTGCGCGAGGATAGGGGTTGTGGTCTAGGTCTAGTCGGGCTCGTCGGAGTGCTGCGCTAATGAAGCCCTGAGGCGAAAGGCTTTTCCGATCAGGGAATTGGTTGGCCCAGAGGGCGGAAATCTCGTCCAGTTTCTTCCTGCCCAGCCGGCGGCAGAGTACCTCGGCGATGCCGACAAACTGGTTTCCTTCGGGGACAAAGAGCCGGCCGTCCGGCATCTCGCCCTCGTGGGTGTTGTCCTTGGCTGCGTACAGCCAGCGGGTGAGTGCCGACATATCGAGCACAAGGTCACGGGCTTCAGGACTTTCAGGCAGTTGCATAAAGTCCTCCGCAAGGTCGTCACTGTACAGGACCCCGTCATTATCAAATGAGCAAGTAAACTCTAATCCTAATTCCCGAACCCACTCTTCGATCGGCAGTGGACTACACCGCTCTAACAAACAGGCAATAAACCAAGGGTCAGACACCCGCCAGCTGGGCCGGAGGTGCTCCCACATACCGCAATCTTGCATCAGCCTACGAGTGGTAGCACTGCCTATCTGCTGCCAATAAGCCAACGCCAATGTGGCCCACTTCCATCGGCAAAAACGCAACTCCAGAACGCCATCCACCAGCTGGTCTCTGCTAGCCTTCAATGTCTCCACAAACAAACCCTCTAACGCTCGCTTGTTCCCAGCACTACACACCCCAGCTCGGCACACACTCCTTCGGTCATCCACACACTCCTTCTCCACACACTCTGCTATCAACTTCGCCACATACTTCCGAGCCGACACACCTTCAGACCACACCATGCCACACGCGCTGCCACATGTGCTCCCGTCACCCATGGCAAGCACCACCAAACTCCACCCGTTTCCTCTATCACACGCTCGAGACCTCATGCACTGGAAAAAAAATCGAACTTAACCCACCTAACACC